GAGATAACACTTGATGCTGAGAATTGACTACAGCTTCCCTTATCTTTTCCGACAAGTCCGTGTCCGACGCCTTGGGTGCGTCCATGCTGTTTTCGTAAACTATTATGGGAGAAAAGTTTAAGCGAACTATCCGTCCTGCTGGGGCGACTAGAAATGACACACCAGGGTCATTCACACTATCGCCAGTGTACCAGGTACACGTCACAGCACGCGCCTGCTCGTGCAGAAAACTAGCCCTAGTGCCGCACGAGACAAATTATCCCCGCTATACTGCGAACCGCGGGAATATTTAATTCTCAAACACGCGCATGCACAGTGATATGAGTTAACAACGGGCTGTGGAAAAAATAAACTAAGCAGCACACATTAATTGAGGCTCCTAAACAATGTATGAAGACTCTTTCAACCTGAATATACTTTACGATACCTTTTCTCTAGCTGTCTGGTTTTTTCTTTCTGTATGGCTAGCTGGCTGACTTGATGCCTGGCTTTTCGACTGTATGGCTAGCTGGCCGACTGTATGGCTAGCTAGCCGACTGGATGCCTGGCTTTTCGGCTGTTTGGCTAGCAAGCTGACCGAATGCCTGTTTTTTCGGCTGTATGGCTAGCTGGCTGACTGGATGCCTGGTTTTTCGGCTGCATGGCTAGCTGGCTGACTGTATGCCTGGCTTTTCGACTGTATGGCTAGCTGGGTGACTGAATGCCTTGCTTTTCGGCTGTATGGCTAGCTGACTGACTGGATGCCTTGCTTTTCGGCTGTATGGCTAGCTGGCTGACTGGATGCCTGGTTTTTCGGCTGTATGGCTAGCTGGCGGATTGTATGCCTGGCTTTTCTGCAGTATGGCTAGCTGGCTGACTGGATGCCTGGCTTTTCGGCTGTATTGCTAGCTGGCCGACTGGATGTCTGGCTTTTCGGCTGTATGGCTAGCTGGGTGATTGAATACGTGGCTTTTCGGCTGTATGGCTAGCTGGGTGACTGTATGCCTGGCTTTTCGGCTGTATCGCTAGCTTGCTGACTGGATGCCAGGCTTTTCGGCAGTATTGCTAAGCTGGTTCGCTGAAGGAGCTGCTGCGTGATTTGTATGGTGCATAGGCATTGTTAATTTGAGACTAATAAAAAAGAAAATTTTATTAATGAAATACGATCAGATGTTAAAAGTGTTTATACGTATGTTTAAGGTACACACTGGGTGTTCAACATTGCTAGAATGATACAAACAAAGACCCTTCAATACATCGGAACTCCAGTGATGATTGAAAATGAGGATGTTGGAATTCTTGACAAAATGAAATCTCCAAGGCTGTTCCATACACATCTTACTTACCCATTTATCCCTAAGGTTGCTAAGGAAGGAAACTTGAAGCTTATTTACGTGCTTCGGAATCCAAAGGATGTTGTTTTGTCCTACTACACGTTTACGTCTCATCTGCAAAACACCAGTTACAGTGGAAACTTCGATGGATTTCTGAAAGCCTTCCTATCTGAAGAAAGTACTATTAGTTTTCAATTCCGATATTTATCATTAGTATTTATAATGTGAAATATATTCAATAGATAAACATGTGCATTCATTACTAAAGTCAATATGTTATTTGAATGAAACATTAATAATAATAACTAGAAATGCAAAGAAAGAAGCATATTTAAAACAAGAGGGTCGTGGCAATGCAGAGAATAAAATACTGCACCCTATAATAATTTTCATGGAGGAGGGGAAGGCGCCTTTAAAACACTTAAATTGTTACAAGTTCAAAACTCCGGATACCACACGAATTAAAATGCTATGCCTCCTGTGATTAACGATAAAACGATTATTTATACTTTGAAAGTTTGTATTTTCCCATCAGATACAGCATTTGGCGGATCATGGTTTACCCATACGAGAGAATGGACCTCTGGGATGAGAGCGAATCCGGATTTGAAGATACTGACTCTCAATTTTGAAGATTTAAAAAAAGTAAATATATAACCTTAATAAATATGCAAAATAAAATATCCTTTAAATTGTCCGATAATTTTCAAACTAAACACTTCCTTTTTTTTAGTTAAAATGTATTGAATACATGTCTAAAATCCTTTGCACGACTATTTGACTGAACTCCTTATTCTTTATCGCATTTAAGACGATCGACACGTTCTCTAACCTCTTTTTACTTTTTAGTTTTGTTTCAGTTTTATTCATTACACTTATATTTATTTATTTGATTTGCTACATGGTTCTTAATATTCACACTATTCATTACTTTTAAATTAACCAGCACTCTTCTTATTTTTAAAGGCATATCATCAAGGGTATTACGCGTCTCCCATTATGTTTCAGGAAGAGGTTTGACCAAGTTGGTTTACCACTTTTTGACCCCTAGCATCACCGGTAAATCCTTGAAGGACGAAACAGCTGTATAACGCAACCTCATGCAGTGTCTCACATTCTTCTTTCAATATAAGCAATACAATTAGCTGACTCACGATTTAAAAAGAACATATCAATACATCAAGAACAATTTGAGATAATGATGCCAGACATTGGCTTTATTACGTCATCAATGTTGCCGTATCTTAATTTTCCTTTAAGATTCGTTAAAAGTGTGTTGGAGATTTTTGCCTTTCGATAAAATTCAGCGCTTTATGGAATGAAATTTTAACTGGAAAAAAAGGACACCTTGTCTGTCGTCGTTGTATGCATACCTTCCGGGAAGACAAAATGATGAAAAAGTTGTCAAAATGATAACCAATTACGAACATTATTGTCAAAATATCCACAAAATAAAGCAATGTTTTATTTTGAAAGCATATATAGAAAAAGAGTAGAAAGATTCCCCGACACGTGGGTCTTCTCCAGGTACTCTGGTTACATCCCACATTAAGATCCCCCGAGCACAAATGTCTACTGCAGTTCTCGAAGTTTTTCATCTAACCTAGGTAATATTTCGTATTTACAATCGTACTAGCATTGTTACTGTCATATTATCCCCCATTTTCCATCTTTGACCGCTGTTAACTATTTGGACGAGTGACCCTGACCCTGTCCGCCATTTTTACGTGCAGATACACCCAGTCTATCGCAGTTTTTTTCACCTTGTGTTTAAACGAACAATAACGACATAGATTTTTTTCTCACTAGATTAACTCAGATTTTTTTATATTAATTCACTTGATCTTTAGTATTCAAGATGAATTTTAATATTTTAATATTTTCAATAATCGGTAACGATCTAATCGAGGGGATATTCGATTACAACAACATATTTCATATCAGTAACTATTGTTTTTTTGTATTCTTCTTTGTTGTATTGTTGTTTCATAGTGACCGTTTTATCTCTGTAATATGTTGTGATATGTAAATGTTCATGATGCTGAAAATTTGACAAATTTCTTTGTCTTTACTGTTTTTATTATTTCTTTGCCTACATATATCATATGTTACAGACTCTGTGTTTACGTTGCGATTGCGTTGCGTTCTCTTTGCGCTTCCGTTACGTTTGCGTGGAGGTTGCGTGGTGTTTGCATTGACTGTTTGAATGTGCGTTGAACATGCGTTTTGCTGATTATGTAAGAAACGATACATGCAATCGCTGGCTATGTACAGATTATGTTAAGAATATATATGTGTGAATGCTGAATATTTGTATATCCCTGAAAAAATAGAATAGGTATAAGTATGATAAAGTTTGTAAATGAATACAAAAAAAATAAATATATATATATACAAACAAAGTAGATAAATGCATGAAATAATTAATTTAATTAATTAAATAATTAGTTTATTTGCAAACGCAACGGAAACGCAACGTAAACGCAACGAAAGCACAACGCACTTTTGGTAAAGAAAAACGGTCCAGGGTCCGTAGTTTGATGCATTTTGAGCAAATTCCATCTACATACTCTTAAACATTGCTCATAAACTCAATCGAAATATTTAAAAAAAATGAAATGAATCCCGGGAAACGGTACAGTTCGACAACATAAATATCTTATCATATTTTAAACTTTAAAAATGTGTACTTCACTAAGTAGCCTTTTTTGTTTACAAGGAGTTTTCAAGAAGACTTTTTTAATAGCGGTCTTTTGTTTGATTGATTTGGACTGTCCAATTATAAAAAAAGAACTCAATGAAATATTTGATAAAAAAAGTGTTCCTGAAAATATTAGTGCTACGCCACTGCACACTCACATACCTACATTCTCACACACACCCACTATCAAACACCCACCCACTCTCACCTTCACACACCAACCCTCTCAATCTCTCACACACCTTCTCACTCACTCTCACGCAAACCTTCTCACTCACTCTCACTCACACCTACCTTCTCACTCTCATACACTTTTCAAACCCATTCACATCTTTCTTCTCACTCTCTCACACCCACCTTCTCACTCTCTTACATCATTCTTCTCACTCTCACACCCACCTGCTGACACATCCACTGTACTCTCACATACCTAGTTTCTCATCTCACACCCACCCCTCTCAAGCACACTCAATATCACACATACATTCTCATTTACTCTCATACACTTCTCACTCACACACCAACTGTCTCTCACAACTACACACTCTCCCAATCTTTCTCACACACAATCTCTTCTATATGCATAGTATACCTACAGTCAGAAAACAGCCCTCATAAGCAAGTAGTATCTACCTCCAATATCAGAAAACAACTGCCGATGCAGCAGCAGTCTCCGATAAGAGATGACAATGGGCTCAAACACGCAACGATCTACAGTCGCTCCACGAGACATACTTCATTAAAGGCCAATCAGGGGTTAGGGGAGCTTTGATTACACATCAGCACATAGCTGACCATTTCTGTGTTTAAAACAGTGACAGTAACAGTATGAAAACGTACAGTATATATATCAAATACAATCGATCTATTCAGGTGTACAATTTTTCAATATTAATCATCATATTACAACCTTAATTTTACAATCAATCAATTTAAAGAGAATTATTTCCGCGCATTTAGAACAATTATATTTTAATTATGTTTTAAATGGCAAAGTAAAACATCAAAATTTGATAAATTTAAGTTTCTCTCAAGGTGAGTAAGATGGTAGGTAACTCTAGCTTTGTATTATTCTTTATCAGGTAGACCAGTAACAGTTAATCCCTCCCAATAGTACCGCTATTAATCCCTGCAATTATCGCTACACGTACTGATCACTGTTCTGAGATACGTTCAACCGACTATCTCACTAAACGCATTATTTTATTGATGATATAGTTTTATTGACTACAAAGCAGCACAGTTTATAGAATATACATTGTAGCAACAACAGGGGACTGTAACATGACCCTTGTCTCCTCTATAGTATATAGCTACCACAGGGGACTGTAACATGACCTTTGTCTCCTCTATAGTTTAAAGCTACCGCAGGGGACTGTAACATGACCTTTGTCTCCTCTATAGTATATAACTACCACAGGGGACTGTAACATGATCATTGTCTCCTCTATAGTATAAAGCTACCGCAGGGGACTGTAACATGACCCTTGTCTCCTCTATAGTATATAGCTATCACAGGGAACTGTAACATGACCCTTGTGTCCTCTATAGTATATAGCTACCACAGGGGACTGTAACATGATCCTTGACGCCTCTATAGTATAAAGTTACCACAGGGGACTGTAACATGACCCTTGTGTCCTCTATAGTATATAGCTATCACAGGGAACTGTGACATGATCATTGTCTCCTCTATAGTATATAGCTATCACAGGGGCCTGTAACATGACCCTTGTCTCCTCTTTAGTATATGGCTACCACAGGGGACTGTAACATGATCATTGTCTCCTCTATAGTACATGTATATAGCTACAACAGGGGACTGTAACATGACCCTTGTATCCTCTATAGTATATAGCTACCACAGAGGACTGTTACATGATCATTGTCTCCTCTATAGTATAAAGCTACCACAGGGGACTGTAACATGATCCTTGTCTCCTCTATAGTATATAACTACAACAGGGGACTGTAACATGACCCTTGTCTCCTCTTTAGTATATAGCTATCACAGGGGACTGTAACATGACCCTTGTCTCCTCTATAGTATATAGCTATCACAGGGGACTGTAACATGACCCTTGTCTCCTCTTTAGTATATAGCTACCACGGGGGACTGTAACATGATCATTGTCTCCTCTATAGTATATAGCTATCACAGGGAACTGTAACATGATCCTTGTCTCCTCTATAGTATATAACTACAACAGGGGACTGTAACATGACCCTTGTCTCCTCTTTAGTATATAGCTATCACAGGGGACTGTAACATGACCCTTGTCTCCTCTATAGTATATAGCTATCACAGGGGACTGTAACATGACCCTTGTCTCCTCTATAGTATATAGCTACCACAGAGGACTGTTACATGATCATTGTCTCCTCTATAGTATAAAGCTACCACAGGGGACTGCAACGTGATCATTGTCTCCTCTATAGTATATAACTACCACAGGGGACTGTAACATGACCCTTGTGTCCTCTATAGTATAAAGCTACCACAGGGGACTGCAACGTGATCATTGTCTCCTCTATAGTATATAACCACCACAGGGGACTGTAACACGACCCTTGTCTCCTCTATAGTATATAGCTACCACAGGGAACTGTGACATAATCATTGTCTCCTCTATAGTATATAGCTACCACAGGGAACTGTGACATAATCATTGTCTCCTCTATAGTATATAACTACCGCAGGGGACTGTAACATGACCCATGTGTCCTCTATAGTATAAAGCTACCTCAGGGGACTGCAACGTGATCATTATCTCCTCTATAGTATATAACTACCGCAGGGGACTGTAACATGACCCCTGTCTCCTCTTTAGTATATAGCTACCACAGCGGACTGTAACATGACCCTTGTCTCCTCTATAGTATATAGCTACCACAGGGAACTGTAAAATGATCATTGTCTCCTCTATAGTATATAGCTACCACAGGGGACTGTTACATGACCCTTGTCTCCTTTATAGTATAAAGCTATCACAGGGCACTGTAACATGATTCTTGTCTCCTCTATGGTATATACCTACCACAGGGGACTGTAACATGATCCTTGTCTCCTCTATAGTATATACCTATCACAGGGAACTGTAACATGACCCTTGTCTCCTCTATAGTATATACCTACCACAGGGGACTGTAACATTATCCTTGTCTCCTCTATAGTATATAGCTATCACANCTACCACAGGGGACTGTAACATGATCCTTGTCTCCTCTATAGTATATAGCTATCACAGGGAACTGTAACATGATCCTTGTCTCCTCTATAGTATATAGCTACCACAGGGGACTGTAACATGACCCTTGTCTCCTCTATAGTATATAGCTACCACAGGGGACTGTAACATGATCCTTGTCTCCTCTATAGTATATAGCTATCACATGGGACTGTAACATGATCCTTGTCTCCTCTATAGTATATACCTACCACAGGGGACTGTAACANAGGG